ACCTTTATATAATGTTCAGAGAAATGTGAAATCCCTGGAAGATATGGATCAGAGCTGATTGTATTCAGATTTGCAAAGATAGAATTCCTCAATTCCCACTGATGGTGGATCCACAATCTGGGTGCATGATGGAAGAATCTGACAGCGGCTTTCCTACACACTTGCTGATTTGCTTGCTGTATTTTTAAAAATCTGCCCTGAAGATTTGTTGACCATTTCTTCCTAATTCTCACACACCCAAATTGAAGTGGGGTGTCTCTAAATTGTAACCAGTGAGAACAGCTGGAACCAAAAATAGCTGTCGATTGAGAGAGAACTCTTGCTTGCACAGAGCAGCCTGGTATTCTGCCTGTTTACATTATTTTGGCTCTTAAAACCACTTTAGCGATGGGTCAGGCTGTGTTTCCATCTTGTAATCTCTGCTGTCAAGTAAACAGGACATGGAGGAAAGCTTCTTGTTAATGCAGAAGCAGAAAAAAACCAAAACTTTTAGAGGCTGTATGTCGTTCGAGCCTTTAACCCCACGTTGACCATCCAAATTGCATTTGTCTGACACAACTATGATGTTCTTGCAGGAGGGGAGGGTTGAGGTGATACCACACGGGCTGCTACTTCAGAAAATCCAGTTGCAAAGAAGTTCCTGTTTGTGCTTGAATTGGTTTCAAAGCTTGTTTTGGGAATGTAATTTACCTAAAAGAGCAGGAATGCAGCTTTGCCTCAGAGGGGGAAGAGAAGCTCTTAAACTCTGTGGAGTTAAAGAAGTTTTCCTCTCCTCATCTCTGTTCCCATCCGCTTCAGGCACAGAGTGGTGACAGGTTGAAAAATGGACCGTTGCATAGCTGAGATAGCTAACCGGGGCCAGAGACATCCCATTTGCCCTGTCCTGATTCAGAAGATTATGGATCGTGTACTGTGCAAACCAATTGAGAATTTCCTTTTCGTCTTGGCAACTTTTGGTATTCCCCAAGTCTTGAGTTGTGGGCCAGTTTGCACAGTGCATATATGTCCGTACGTTTCTGAGCACAATTCAAAGTGTTGGTGCTGACCTTTAAACCCCTAAGCGGCCTTGGTCCAGTATACCTGAAGGAGTGTCTCCACCCCCATCGTTCAGCCCAGACACTGAGGTCCAGCACCGAGGGCCTTCTGGCAGTTCCTTCGCTATGAGAAGCCAAGCTACAGGGAACCAGGAAGAGGGCCTTCTTGGTAGTGGCTCCCGCCCTGTGGAACACCCTCCCACCAGATGTCAAAGAGAAGAACAACTACCAGACTTTTAGAAGACATCTGAAGGATGGAGAACCTTAGTGTGTGAACCAAAACCCCTTAGGAAACAGCTGCTGCTTCACAGCAGTTGTTCCCATGACTGCCTGTAGTTGAAAACATACAGCTGGAATTGTGGAAGCAGGAAGTTCTCCCTGTCTCTGGGAAGAGCTTGGTTCACAAGCTGTATTTCTCCCTGCAAGCGCATCCACCAGAACAGTCTTTTAATCCAAGTCATCAAGAGAAACAGCAGTCACTTCTTGTCTCCTGAACAAAAATATGTTTTTATTTTATTTTTGTGAAGAGTGCTATTCTCAAATGCATTGGGCATACCCAGTAGACAATTGCAAGTACTTTTTATAAATAATACCATTTTTCCAGTACTTTGTGAGTTTAATGTTTTGGCTGGGGGTGGGAAGTGATACTGTCCCCCTCTTTTGGCGTTAAATTGCAGTCTCCCCCCCCCCCATTCTTAGCTACAAAAGTAACTTTAACCCTGAAACCTGACATTTAATCAGAATATTTAGCATACTTGGAACAAATAGTTGTTGATGATGCAGGAAAAATCAGGGAGAGAGCAAAAATGCTTATCATTTCCAGTGACAACAGGAGACCTCATACAAAAAACACTTGAGCTAGCAGGAGTTCCATTGCATTTCATGGAAAGCAAAGAGAGGGAGGGGGATGTCTTGCAAGTTCAGAAAATAACTCATCAAAATAAAACAGGAAGAGAGGCAGCAAACAGAAAAGAGAATCAAGAAGAATGAAACAGGGCTGTCACCAGATTAAAGAAACTTTAGGGTCAAACTGTACATTGCACTTAATCCACACGGCTACATGTCTTTCTTTTCCTTAGATTAATAGCAACTGCAGCAAGGGGTGGTGGTATCAAGATCACATGTAGGGAGGGAAAGTCGATCCTTCCCTATCCCAGCCACAACCTCCCTTCCCCACATTGCTCCTGTAGCTTAGTAAAAAGGAGAAAAAAAGAGAAAAATTCCATTTGTGCAAAGTCGGCATCACTGCACACAATATATGGGGCATTACAAGTAAACTTTGGGTTGCGGGTGGCGCTGTGGGTAAAACCTCGGTGCCTAGGACTTGCCAATTACATGGTCGGCAGTTCGAATCTCCGCGGCGGGGTGAGCTCCTGTCGTTCGGTCCCAGCTCCTGCCCACCTAGCAGTTCGAAAGCACCCCTAAGTGCAAGTAGATAAATAGGTACCGCTTATAGTGGGAAGGTAAATGGCGTTTCCGTGTGCTGCGCTGGTGCAGGCTCGCCAGAGCAGCTTCGTCACGCTGGCCACGTGACCCGGAAGTGTCTGCGGACAGCGCTGGCTCCTGGCCTCTAGAGTGAGATGAGCGTGCAACCCCAGAGTCGGTCACGACTGGCCCGTACAGGCAGGGGTACCTTTACCTTTACAAGTAAACTTAGTTGACTGGTGGTTTAAGTTTTAGTGGATCAGTAAATCAAATGATTAAATTTGCATCAGTGGGATTATGTATAAAATAGTAGGTCTGAAGCTGAAGTTGTATTTCCCTTCTGGGGCATGTGTGGGGTGTAGCAAGCGTATTCTGAGAAGAGGAATCCCAAACGCACAGGCCCCAAACCCAGTTTCTCAAACAGGAAAGACTTTCTTCTAAGAAGGAGTTGGGTATCTTCCACTGGAGGAGAGATCATTAAGAGGCAATATAACTGTCAGGAGCTTGTCCTACACTCGAGTAGGACCCTGGCAGAGACACATGCCCGACTGGTATGTTCTCTCCCTCCTGGTCAATCGTTCGGGAGCTTCAAAAGCTTTCTTCAGCCCGAACATCACAGTGACCGATGCCAACAGACACTGGCACACTTAGGGATCCGCAGAGTGTTCGCAGTTTGCATAAGAGACCTCAGCAACTCAGCATTTTGGCTAATCTACGTTTATTTACATACAAACACCCACAGAGCACTGCAACTTGGCTCCCTCTCTCTCTAGCATCAGACAGCAAAGAGAATGAACAAAGGACAATAGTCCCACTTCACGGAACACAGTAACACAAACATCCTGTCTCCGTCACTTCCCACTCTGTGGAGTCAAAACATACACCGTCATGTGATAGACAACAATCCTATGACTGCAATCACGGAGCAGGAATTCTGACGATAACAGCCCTCTTCAGATATTTGGAGGGCATAGATAGCGCAGCAAAATTGCTTTCTGTTGCTCCAGAGAGCAGAGCCCAAGCCAATAGGTTAAATTATGAGACAGGAGACTTTGGTGAAACATCTGCATTGGCTGCATCATCTGCTACTGAGCCAGGTTTCAGACCCTTGTGTTAACTTACAAAGTCCTGAACAGCTGTGGTTCAGGGTACCATAGGGATGGCCTGAACCCTTACACCCCTTTCTTGAGCACATCAGCAAGTGTGTTGTTGGTTGTCACCCAGGTTGGCAAAACTCACACTGGCAATTAAGACCCTTCTGTGACTGATAGATTGATAGCATTTATACCCCCCCCCCCCCCAATTTCTGCAAGGAGCTCACCCAGTGAGCTTCATAACTGACTGGGGATTTGAACCCTGTTCTCCCAGCCCCTAGTCTGATGCTCTAAACACTATAGTACACTATTAGTTGGTCTCTGATTTTTTATTTTTTATTTACTGTATGGTTTTATGTACAGCCGTACCTTGGCTCCCGGACGCCTTGGGAGTTGAACATTCCGGCTCCTGAACGATCAAAAACTGGAAGTTTGTGTTCCGGTTTTTGAACATTATTTTGGAAGCCGAACGTCCGACAGGGCTTCTGCGGCTTCCGATTGGAGGTTCCTGCAGCCAATCAGAAACCGCACTTTGGTTTCCGAACATTTTGGAAGTCGAATGGACTTCTGGAACGGATTCCGTTCGACTTCTGAGGTACGACTGTATCATTGTTGTGAGCTGCTCTGATTTTTTTATAAGAACAGTGGTATATAAATATCTTTATTAAAAAAATAAATTCCCCAAAAGCTGCTTGAGTGGAAAGGGTTAATTACAATTGTTTGTTACACACCTTGCTTTGTCCTTTCTTTTTTGCATGAATTTCTTTCTTCTCTCTATCTCCCTGGCTTTTGTATTTTTTGTTTTTTTAGATCCTCTGAACTTGGAAGTATTCCTTTTCTCCCCCGCTTTCTTCCCCCCTCCCTCCTCATTTTGCCTGAACGTGCGTCTTTGTCTCTTTGCGATTCAGGGTATTAACATGAGAGTGATGGCATTAATATTGATGTGGACCTCCCTTAGTAGAAGCTTCATTTCTGAGAGTGCCAGCAGCATATAAATAGTATTACTGGGTAATTAGCGAGCATCAAGCTGTGCTCTGATTTATCAGGATTTTATGTTTCACTTTTCTTGCCTCATCTAGCTTGTATTGGGTTTCCATTCCCAGATTGTGCCCAGAGAAACACTGAGCTGCACAGAAGAGAAATGGATGAGAACAATTCAGGAGCAATGACATGTTCTTGCTTGGCTCCTGTTTTCACCCCAATAGATCAGCTCCCATCAACTCTCAGCAACATGGCCAATGGCCAGGGATGATGGGAGTTGTAGTTGTAGCAGCATCTGGACGGCCACAGCTTAGCCATTCTACAACAGAGATTATGCTTGTATACAGAATGCAGCAGCCGGAATGCCAGCTGGGACTGGGTATTGTGGAGTCTTAGAATCGTAAGAGTTGGAAGGGCAATGCGAGGATCATCTAGTCCAACGCCATGCAATGCAGGAATGTGCAACTTTCCCTTATGGGTATTGAACCTGCAACCTTGGCATTATTAGCACCACACTCTAACCGACTGAGCTACCCAGAAACACATTTAACTCTGCTGCACGAGATGCACTGACTTCCAGCCCATTTTTGAGTAGGGATGGCAGAGAATTTCGATTCAGCTTGTATTTAAAGGCAGAGATGCTTAATTTGCACTTTCCCAAACAATGCACAATTTGAAACCCAGCCATTCATGGAAATTCACCCTTCTCTGAAGTTTTCCAGCCGAATTTTGTGTGCAAATATATATACCAGAGTAAAGTGTGCATAGAAATGCATATGCTATTTATTTGTTTTTATTTCATGAAATTTATATACCTCTTAATTGTTAAAAAAAAAACTAATAAAGGGAATTTTACAGAAAGCATAATATTAGTAAATGTAACTTATAAAAATCCATTATATTTGCAGAAAGTACATTGCAAAAATGTTTGTATTTGGGACGACACCTTCATTCTCTTAATTTTGGTGCTAAGCAAAGGTCTTTAATTTCCCCCAGGCCTTTTATAACTTTTCAAAATTGAGCTTTTCTTCTGCTTTCGGGAGCTTTTTCCATTGAATTGTTGGATTCCTCTCTCTCCCGCCCTAAAATGCCCTGGAACCTTTGAAGGGTGGGATATAAATCTGTTATATACAATATTATTAGAAAGGAAAACTTCTGGATCTATCAATCTGTTTAAATATTTATCAACTGCACTTTAATATAAAACATCACAAGGCAGTATACAACCTAGAAAGCACAGCAAAGCATCTCAGGTGAAAATACAGTTTTTAGAAGATGTTTGAAAAAAAGCAGAGAGGACTCCTGCTAATTTTGCCCCATAGATCCAAGACCTAAAAGCACAGGGATTTAATGTGGAAGACAAAAGTCTTCAAAACAAAACAAAACAAAACAAAACCTAGCTTCTGATTTTTAAGAAAAGAGTTCTCCTTTTGCACATGCCATGTTCCTTAGAATCATTCCATCCTGGGTGCTCATAAAACTAGAGGGGGTTTCACACATGTTGAATGAACCGGGGGGGGTGAGTCTGGGAGCCATGCAGTCACCCACCCCTGTCATCTGGGCTGCTGCCATAACCACACTCCTTTGACATTTGCACACCCTTTGGATATTGAAAGCCATTCTACTTCTTTTTTAAAAAAATAATATTTATTAAAAGTTTAAAGATTACAGAAAAAAGAAAGAGAGAGAAAAAAATAAACAATACAAATCAATACATTACTATACATAAAAAAGAAAAAAGAAAAGACACAATACATCAAAACAAAAGCAAAAGCAAAAACAATTAAAAACACATCCAATATTTCCATATCTTTGTCTTTCATTAACTTGTTTCATCGACCTCCTCGCACCTCCCTTTTTTTGTGTTCTAATTATTAATTATTTCAGCAAATCCTTTCCATCTTTCACTATTTTCTGTCATATAATTGTCATAATTTATTTTAACCTTATCTTACCATTAATACCCTGAAACTTATTTGTACTTAACTCCTTATAACATTTCTACTAAAGCCATGTAATTTCATTCCAACATTTTTCTAACACTCATTAATTTTACAATGTTTCTATAAATAAATTTTAAACTTTTTTCCAATCTTCTTCCACCATCTCTTCTCCCTGGTCTCGGATTCTGCCAGTCCTTTCTATCAGTTCCATATGGTCCATCAACCTGGTGATCTTCTGTCCGGAAAGCCATTCTACTTCTATATGTTATGTCAAAAGTTCATTTCTTCACTGCCTTTTAGCCAAAAAGGCCCCAAGGCACCTCACAAGGAATAATACAAAGGATAATTCAGGCAAAATAAATTAAAAAAATAGTGTGGGGAAAATTAAAACAAAATCTAAAATGCATTCACATTCCTGCCGAAAGGAAGTACCCAGCAAAATATCAGAGATTGCAGGAGCAGTTCCTCCCATAGCTGTCAACGTTTCCTGTTTTTTAAGGGAAATTCCCTTATTCCCAATAGGATTCTTCGCAAGAAAAGGGAAAAGTTGACAGCTATGGTTCCTCCTTATAAGAATCTCAGGTAGGGGTGATGAGGTGGTGGGGCAGAAAGTAGCCTCTTGATGGACCCAGCACAATTTCTTGTAGCAACCTGCAGTTTGTGGGCAGAGCTCCTACACAAGAGGAAGCACCTTACTAGAGAGGAGCCATCATTGTACGGAGAAGCCATACGGTTATGTCTGTGTAGACATCAGGGAAACATAGAAGCAGCAGTGGGTGGCACTAGGCAACATTGCTACACATTTCAGTGTGTAGAGAGACTTAGGGGAACCCACCACTGTCGTCTTGTCCCATGGCTTTCATTAGAAACCCCGGTTGTTTTACTGAAGAGGGCAGAAGTTGAAATGTTTTAACTAATCAAATCCATATAATATTTTTTGTATAGAACAATGAGAGTCATGAAGTTGGATGTCAGTATGCTGTGTTGTAATGATGATGCTATATATTATAATTTTGTTGCATGCCACCCTAATTTCCAAGGTGTGTGAGATTCCAGGGGTTGATTACCCAGGGTTCGTGTTTCCTTTTGGAATGATGCACAGCAGAGACTGTGGTGTCTTTATGAAATATGGTTTATTTACACACATATATACTACCTGAGCCTATGGTGGAGGGGTTCACAGCATTAACACCCCAAAAAGGGTCTTGTTCCTCCTGTAGCTACAGCCTTGGATTCAAACAGACATCAGGCATGGCTCTGACCTTCTCTCCAGCTTGCTCTGCTCTCAACTTTGTCTTTTTCTTTCTAACTATCACGAGTTGGCCATTTGCCATCTCACACGGAGCCCCTTTCCTTTGTTCCCCTTAATGGCCCATCACTCCAGCGATCACCTCATCAGACTTATATTTTAACATTTGCTGGATCCAGGGGCTAGAAGTGTCTTGGCCATGGGTAGGCAAACTAAGGCCCGGGGGCCAGATCCAGCCCAATTGCCTTCTGAATCAGACCCGTGGATGGTCCGGGAATCAGCATGTTTTTACATGAGTAGACTGTGTCCTTTTATTTAAAATGCATCTCTGGGTTATTTGTGGGGCATAGGAATTCGTTCATTCCCCCCCCCAAATATAGCCCGGCCCCCCACAAGGTCTGAGGGACAGGGGACTGGCCCCCTGCTGAAAACATTTGCTGACCCCTGGTCTTGGCATACAGCCTACATCCCCCTTAAGCTCACAACACTATGATAAGCGCAATATTTTAACATTCTTAATTTTATCTTGCATTTTATGTGATGCGTTTTATGATTGATATTGTATACCATGCTGTTGGACAGAAGATGAGGTCGTGTTTATATGTGTGTATATACAGTGGTACCTCGGGTTACAGATGCTTCAGGTTACAGACTCCACTAACCCAGAAATAGTACCTCGGGTTAAGAACTTTGCTTCAGGATGAGAACAGAAATCGTGCTCCGGTGGCGCGGCGGCAGCGGGAGGCCCCATTAGCTAAAGTGGTACCTCAGGTTAAGAACGGACCTCCAGAACGAATTAAGTTCTTAATCCAAGGTACCACTGTACATACACAAAGAGAGAACTTCTAGTGACTGTTGTACCTAATCTGATTGCTTTAGTCATTCTCACTGCTGCCCTTAAACAGACTTCCCTCCATTGCTAATTTCAAAGACGCATCGCATTGAACATCACAAGGTATAGGATTTCATGTAGCACTAAACATACCTATGCAAAAGTTTCCAACCACTTGTTTTTGTCCTATTAATATTCCTTGGTGCAAAGGCATCCCTTCACTAACAAACCCCAGGGTGGAGTGTAAGGCTCTCCCTAGAGCTGCTGTCAAGCTTCCAAACAGTTCAGACTTCCCAGTCGCTTACTAACTTGAGCTGCTGGTAGGAAGCTGAAACCAAAGATGTACAGATCAGATAACACCAGCCTGAGATTTGGTCTAATCCTGCAGGGCTCTTAACATTTTTGCTCCACAAAGTATTATTTTGCTCCCTTAGCTCCTGTGTCTAGGCAATCACAAGTTCCACCTGAGGCTGTTTACCCGTGGCATGTAGCACAAACAGATTGTGCTGCTTCCAGTGCTTTTCAAAGAAGGACAGAGTTTGATATTTGGAGGGCTGTTGGAAGTGTGAGTCCAGCTCCTGACCTGTACCCACAACTCACAGATTATGTATGGTTAGCTCTGCCTCTTTCTCAGTGAGAGATCTTGAGGTTTTATCCAGGTGCTCCATTGGTATTCCATGAAATTGTATTAGTGCTTTTCTCACAGTGGCCAACCAGATGCCCGTGGGAAACCTGCAAACAGGACCTGAGCGCAAAGGCACCATCCCCTCCTATAGCTTCCAGTGTCAGGAGCTTGTCCTGCTCTTGAGTAGGACCCTGGCATGTTCCCTCCCTCCTGGTCAAATGTTTGGGAGCTTCAAAAGCTTTCTTTTGCTCGAACATCACAGCGACCGATCCACAGAGTCTTCGCAGCTTGCGTACCAGACCTCAGCAACTCAGCATTTTGGCTAATCTACATTTGTTTACATATAAACACACATGGAGCACTGCAACATGGCTCCCTCTCTCTCTAGCATCAGACAGCAAAGAGAAAAAGAACAAAGGACAATAGTCCAACTTCACGAAACACAGTAGCACAAATGTCCTGTCTCTGTCACTTCCTACTCTGTGGAAAGAAAACACACACCGTCATGTGATAGACAACAATCCCATGACTGCAATCATGGAGCAGGAATTCTAACATCCAGGACCTGATATTCAGAAGCATTACAGCCTCTGACCATGAACGTACAGCCTAGCCATCATGGCTAGTGGCCATTGACAACCTTATTCTCCATGAATTCATCTACTCTTTAGAACCTTCTCTGTTGGCAGCCATCACTGCCTCCTTTGGAAGTGAGTTCTGTAGTTTAACTATGTGCTGCATGAAGAAGCACTTCTTTTGTCTGTAGAGTCAAGTCTCAGCTTACACAGGGGTTATGTTTTGGGGACAGTTCTTAAAGCCAAAATCCCCATAAAGTCAAAACACACTTTCCCAGGGCCACTGCACTCTCTTCTTGTGCACCTACAAATACTC